AACACAATGGAAACACAAGACATACATGTTACAGTTTTATTGCCAAGGTAATATAACACAAAGTATAGTGTTATAAATGCACATTAAATATTTAAAATGTGGCTAGATTTAGGATGTTGATCATTGCAGAAATAATAATAATAATAATAATAATATGTTTAATTTATATAGCGCCTTTCCCAAGCTCAAGGACACTCTACAAGGTACACCAGGTACACCAATATTGATTACAAAGAAACAATACTGAAAGAGGTGACTGTTCTGAGTGCCAGGGGAAGTGAATTCCGAAGTTTGGGTGCAGTAACAGAGAAGTACCTGCCGCCCATTGAAGATAGGCGGAACCTAGGTACACAAAGAAGTTCAGAATTAGAAGACCGGAGTGCGCGAGAAGGTATATAAGAAGAAAGTAGGTCGGAAAGATAGGAGGGAGCAAGACCATTGAGTGCCTTAAAGGTGAGCAGAAGAATTTTGTATTGCACACGAATAGATACAGGCAACCAGTGAAGATTAAATAGAATAGGGGTGATGTGAGCAGATTTTTTTGTGGAAGTTAATAATCTGGCAGCAGAATTTTGAATGTACTGCAGACGAACGATGGAGTGAGCTGGTAAGCCAGAGAAAAGAGCATTACAATAGTCAAGGCGAGTGGTAATAAATGCATGCACTAATGATTCCGCATCTTTTCTACTAGGAAAGGAAGAAGTTGCACAATTCGACGTAGTTGAAAAAAAAGCAGCTTTGGAGAGTTTGCTAATGTGGTCATCCAAGGTCAGTGATGGGTCTATAATGATACCTAAGTTTCTAACAGTAGCCGATGGGAAAATAGAAATAGCGAAACATCAATTTTATTTTTTATTAGAGATGGGGGACCAATTATTAAAATTTCTGTTTTACTCAAGTTCAGACTAAGAAAATTTGAAATGCATCATCTGACTCTGTGTAAAGGCTCTGTGAATGTGCAGCATTCACTGATGCAGAGCATAGTGTGTTCTTTGCCAGGTTTGCTACTTTGAAACTTTGCTTGCTGCTGTGCGTATACTTGTGCATACATAAAACTAGTTACAAGCATGTAAACCTGCAAGTGTCACATAAAAAAAAACTTGTGCCGGGGAAGTTAAGCCAAAGTTAAGCCAAAGTTGCAACTGCATAAGGAAAACAAGTGTTTTCAATTAGAGCTGGCACTGTACACAAACATGCTGAACTCTGCGCTCACAGCTTGACTATGTGTGGGGAAGCCCAGAAATCCATCTGTAACACACCCCACCTACAGCAGATCGTCTCAGGTTACATATGTAACCATGGTTCCCTGAGTAGGGAACGAGACACTGCGTCCTCTAGGGGGAAAAAACGCTCGCAGTGCACTCCGATTGCCCCCTCGGAGACATCGCGTGCGTGCTCTTTGCCCAAAGAAAACAACGCATAGATATCGTGTGTGTCATCAGATGTTAAACAACGTCAACACGGATGCACACATCCTTAAATGCTTTGCTAGTGCTCGCCATAATGAGATAAATAGAGATCGCTCTTACCACAGAAATGCACGCTTCAAACAAAACAGTCAATGAAGACGAAGAAGAGAATGATGTGTGCTCCCGGCGCCTATTTATACTATAGTCGCACCGGTAGTGACGTCATGGCTGTCGCCAGCCAACGAGTTGGTGTTTTTTCAATGTATGCTTCAGACACGGGTCACGACGAGGCGTTCCCCATAGCGACCCCTAGAGGAGGTTCGAAGTTCCCATGAAAGGGAATCACAGATTCATACAGCGTTTGACATCAGGACACTCCTCTCAGAAGAAGCCCATGGCTTGTCAGTAAAAATAAAATAAATAAATATAAAAAATAAAAGAATTTTGTAAATTTAAATTTTGACATTTAACAAAAATAGATTTTTTTGTGGCGCATTTAATAGATTTGTATTTCTGTGTTCTGAACTTTTAGGAGTGAAACTAGTGGTAATCATTCATATTCTAATATTACATCATTCAGAATTCAGAATTCCTTCTTTCTCTTGATAATCTCAGTATTTACAACTAATTTCACCTTTAAAAACCTAAAAATCTGCTGTTTAAAAATAGAAAATCCATAAAAAATTTGTCACAAAAATGATTTTAAAATTCAAAATGACAAAATTCAAATTGTTTTCACGCTCCATATGTTTCAAGCAGTGTTTATCTGTTTAAATCTGACCGACTGTTGCTCAAGGCTTCAGACACTGATTCTTTTTCAAAGTGTTGAGGAGAACAGACAGTGTGTGCTTCTTTCAGTGTGTATCATTAGATTTCTTACAGCACTCATATTATTCAGATATGTGTATTAAAAGTGTTAAAAAAAATAATGACCTTTGAGTCAAAAATGGAAAAACAGGAGCATTCACTGACTTTAAAAACAGACTGTAGTCAAATAGAATATTACAAAAATTATGGTTTTACACTGTTTTAATATTATAAAAGTGTCTAAACTACTTTATGATGCTAAAATGCCTTGATTTTACATTTTATATAACTACATTTTCATATTTACATCTGAAGAAAATGTGCCTGATGAAAAAGTCCACCCTCATGTCTTAAACAATCAGCAGATTTGAGCAATCATTCTGAATCACTGCCTGCAGCACAAACAAGGTATACTGAGAAAAACTAGGCTCTTGGCTCCATAACAAAGCTCTTATGCTGCAGAAAAGTGGTTGAGGAGATGATGATGTTGATGATGATAATTGCTCTTGATGATTTAAGACGAGAGAGGCTACATGGTGCAGCTGTGAGAAGACAAACAGCCTTCCTCTCGCTCAGATTCTGGGAAAATCTCCCTCTGAAGAACCAGACTGGACTCAGGCCATTTATGACTCACTACTGACTCTCCGCACTCACAATGTTAAAGCAGCGTAAGTAGTCGCGCAGACAAAGCGCACAAACAGATCAAGTATCTCAAGTGAAAAATCGGATCAAACTCTACAATAATTTGGTGCAAATTTATCTGTCACTAGATAGAAGCCTGTCAAATTAGACAGATGTAACATGGAGAGTTTGCATGACATGCATCATTCTCTAAAACGGTGAATAAAACTTAACAAGGTAAAAAAATATGACCTAGACTACATTAAATACAGGTTTAAGCAGTGAGAATAAGCATGACCACAAAGTGTTTTGTGCAGCGGGAGAATGAAAATTCAAATGACATTCAGAAATGCTTGATCTTCCAAGACGTCAATAATTTTGCGTAATCTAGATTTAGGACATTTACGTTTAATTTTGTACAATAAACAGTTGTAGAGCTGTTTGCGTCACCACTCAATGTCCATTGTAAAATCTGAGTCCTGAAGCAAAAGCAGTTGACAAGCGCTGCTCTAAACCAGACATGATCAATGTTTCTCATAAGTATTCATGCACAGCTGTGCACTTCTGACGCTCCTTCTGCACAAAAAAAGAGACTGTTTGTAAAATAGCTGGAGATTTCCTAAATCCATAATGATAAATTGCAAATATTGGCATCTGACTAACTGGACTAACTTAAAGTGACACGTTAGTTTGTACCAAAAGGTTTGACTGTATGCACAGTGTTTGAAAAGTTTGTTGTAGATCAAATTGATCAAAAGTGGCGATAAAGACATTTATAATGTTACAAATGATTTCTGTTTGAAATAAATGCTGTTCTTTTGAACTTTCATCAAAGAATTCTGAAAAAAAAAAATAAAAAATCATAGTTTCCACAAAAATATTATGCAGCAAAAAGTTTTCAACACTGATAATAATAAGAACCATTATTAATAATTGACCACCAATAATAATTGATAACAACTGATTACCAAATCAGCATATTAGAATGATTTCTGAAGGATCATGTCACACTGAAGACTGGAGTGATGATTCAGCTTTGATCACATCAATAAATATTTTACAATATATTCACATAGAAAAACATTTCTTAAAAGGTAATAATATTTCAAACTTTACTGTTTAACTGTATTTTTGATCAAATAAATGCAACCTTGGTGAGCACAAGAGACTACTTCAAAAACGTTTAAAAAAATGTAATAATTTCAAAACTTTGACCAGTATACTGTACATGGGAAGTTTTTTTTATTGTATTTAAAAGTTCATAAAGCCAAAACAAAATTTATTTTGCTTATCCAACTATGCATGATTATAAGGTTAGTTTTATTTTTAGTCATTTTATTTTTATTTAGCATTGTTTTGTTCCTGTTGTCTTACTCTGTCATTAGAAGCACTGATCTAGATAAGTTATTATTAAATAACTACCAGTCTGGGAAAGTTATAATATATTTCTGTCAGGACCACTATCATCAGTTTGGATTGGCATATGGTTGTTCTGGGCAAGAACTCCCTGCGCATACATGCAGCCTAGCATGGATAAGAGCAGGGAGAGCAGCGATAAGCCCCCTATAGGATAAACAGAACAGAACCAACATGAATGTATTGCAGATATCATTAATGTTCAATAATTTAATGCACACATTTCAGAAATTAGTCTGATTTAAAGGGGAATCAGAAGGTTGAATCCTAACTGAACGAGAGGAGGAGCTGGGGATGGAGGAGGGTAATTAGCTATTGAGCCAACAAGAAAGCTGCTGATAATACCGAAGGACCTTATATAAGGATGCTGTGATAGGCGTCGTTTCCCTATAGGTAGACGTGGATCAGCTGAGAGTCAGCTGATGCGAGCTTGACTGACGTGACCTGCCAGAACTAACGCTACGCTTGATATTTGCTAATTTGTAAATATTTTGTCATTTTAGATTTATCTGTATGTTTTGAGTCATTGTAGATAAATACCCTATCATATTGTACCTAATAAAGAAATAAATTGTTGTGCATTGGAACACTTTTCATTTTGATAGAATTTCTTTGTTATTAATGGCGCAGTGACGTTCCATGGGGTGGTTATGTGGTCTGACCAATAGCAAGAGGTTTTGTTTTGCACAACCAGAGGCGTGTTCATGATGACATGTGTTGTGTTAGTGTAGACGTGAGCAGACGCACCTCTTTGACTCTCTGGATCATGGGTTGCAGCCAGTCTGTGTTGACCTCACAGTGACTGTCCAGGAAGGTGAGGATGGAGGCCGAAGCCGCAGACGCCCCTCTGACACGAGACCGGATCAGACCTGACCAACACCAACACATGTTCATTCCAATTCATAACACATCACCATTCCAAAATAATTATAACAACACTAAATAATACATTCATTGTATTGATGAAGCTTATCAGCTGAGGCTTGTTTCTCAGGTTAACCCAGGTGAAAAAGAAGTACTCTTAAAAGTATTACAAATATACTTGAAATTCAGATAGTATATTTATAGTACAATTGCACTCCTAACAAGCTTACTTGAAGTGTGTTAAAAATGTATTGAATTGCATTTTAATATATTTTTAAAATGTATACTAGAAGTACTTTGGTAATAAATATATGCTTAGTTACGCTTTTAATAAATATGTTAAAACACAAGCATACATTTGTGACATTTTAGTGTATTTACAGAAAACATACTTATTTTACTCTTACTTAAAAGTATATTTTATGTTTACTTTGTGTAAGAACATAGTAAAATGATACAGCTTTTAGTGATTTTAAAGTATATGTATCTTATTCATAAACCATATGTAGACATACTGCAATATATATTTAAATATTTATGCAATGAACGTGCTTCAGCCTGCTTTTCAAAAGGAAGATATGTTAAAAAACATTTTTAACATTTTAATATATTTCATAAAGTATATTAATTCACTCACAAATACATTATCTATAAAATAAGCAAAAGTATTCTTACATTGTACCATTCTTATATTGTTGTCAACTACGCCTAAGTAAAATAGCATACTTAAAATCAATATATTGTTCGGTTTTACTTGTTTGTACTTGTAAAAGAATACTAGTCTGTTTTGCAATACAATGCTAATATATTTTAATTTCACTTTTGAATACATGATATATTAATTGTAATAGGCTACTATTTAACTGTATTTCCACAAGCATTTCAACATTGTATCATTTGAAGCGCATCATGAATCATTTTTCCAAAGATATGCTTAAAATAACTATTTATTTACTTGTTTATGTACCTAAATTCAAACAAGCTCAGCTTACCACGTGACGCGCGAAAACAAACCTCATTGGCTTTTGTGGAAGTTTAGGCGTGCTTGCGTAACACGTGTTACAGAACCTGATTGGTTCTCGAGCATCGGGCAAGCATATCTGAGCTTCCGTTTACTAGTTCTGTTGGTTGTGTGTATGTGCGTTGATGGATGTGAATAAAAGTTTAAATTAAAACTAGGGCTGCACGATAAATCGCATGCGATATTTAATGCACACCGGAAATTGACTGGTTTTCGGACCCCCCCGGACCCCCCCGGACCCCCCCAATACAGTAAAACTGCACATTTTAGGCGCTTTTCCACTGATTTCATTAAAATACATCAGTTTTTGTTTCGAAGATGAACGAAAGTCTCGAAGGGTTTGGAACAACATGAAGCTGAGTACTTGATTACAGAATTTATATATATATATATATACTGTATATCCGAAAAATGACTCAATGGCACACAAAGCCATTTGACTTTCAACTGTGATCAGCTGTGCTCATTTTGATCAGCTCAGCATGAAAAGAGCTTTCCTGGAGCATTTCAGTCCTTGGTAGTGCAACTGAAGCAAACAATCAACTATGGGTGGCAAGGCACTGTCAAAAGATCTCTGGGATAAAGTTGTGGACCGGCACAAATAAAAAAAATTCAAAGTCTATAATTAAGAAGTGGAAGGTATTTGGTACAACACAGACCCTCCCTGGATCAGGACATCGCTCCAAACTGGATGAAAGAGCCAGAGGAAACTGGTCAGAAAGACTATCAAGAGGCGGACCGCAACTCTGAAGCAGCTGCAGGAATTCATGACAAAGAGTGCTCATTGTGTGCATGTGACAACAATATCACAGATTCTCCACAGATGTGGCTTGCATGGAAAAATGCCGCTCCTCAAGAAAAGCCACATGCAGTCAGACTGAGCTTTGCCAAAACACACCTTGAAGATTCTGAGGCAGATGAGACTGAAACTGAATTATTTGGCCGCAACACCAAACGATATGTCTGGCGGAGATGTAATCCAGCTCATCATCCAAATAACAGCATTCCTCCAGTAAAGCATGAAGGTGGTGATGTCCTGTTCTGGGGGTGTTTCTCTGCAGCAGGGGCTGGAGCACTGGTCAGGATAGAAGGAAACATGGACAGGGCAAAATATAGTCAAATTCTTGAGGAAAATCTGCTGCACTCTGCCTGAAAGTTGTCAATGGGAAGAAGGTTTACCTTCCAACATGACAATGACCCAAAGCACACGGCAGAACTGAACACACAGTGATTGAAGGAGAAAAAGCTGAATGTTCTTGCATGGCCTGTCAGAGCCCAGACTGAAACCCCACTGAAAATCTGTGGAATGACTTGAAGACTGCAGCCCACAAACGCTCACCATCAAATTGAACTGAACTTGAGCAGTTCTGCAAAGAAGAGTGTGCAAATATTGCAAAGTCTAGATGTGCAAAGTTAGTAGACAGAGACATAGCCCACAGACTAAAGACTGTAATTAAAGCAAAAGGTGAG